GTGTAGCTGCTTAAAGGAAACACTGATTGCACAATGCTAGATCTACGTATTAGGAGTCCATAACAAAAGGCTAGATGGTGCAAGAGCTTAGTGTGGTATTCTTTAACCTCTGAAAGCCAAATTCAAATTCTGGATTAGGTCACAAGCAAAACTTAGGTGGTGGCCTCATCCTTTTTTGTGGACTTCATAAACCATACCATTCATAACATTTAGCAGTTCCCTGATGTTCTAATCTTAGGCCTCTGTAACAGGCTAGTAGTATCTGTCTGAAACGTCAACCCACCCTGTTAACAGGTGTTGATCCTGATGGGAAAAGAATAAGTAGGTTCTGCTGACTCAGAGGCAGACAACTCCTTATACCACCTGAGTTTAATGGAGCTTGGAGTTGCTTTTTGAGAGAGATGATCTAGGGTGTGGGCTGAGCAGTGTAGGGAGGAGGGAAGGAACCCAGAAATAAATAAGTGGGGAGAGAAGGCTTAAACTGATCTTATTTAAGCTGTTTTAAGAAATCTGATCCCCAGCTAACATTATTGACATGGAATGAATTGTATTTGTAGAAGAACTTGGAAAAGATACTTGCTCAAAGCCTCTCTTGCTAAAGGTATTGCAAGGTTTTCATTTACAGATCTATAATGTCTGTGTGCATTACTCCTGAACTGAGTCTAGCAAATGTAACCAGTGCTTGACTTTCAGAAGTGCCAGTATTTTTCCTAAAATAGAACTAGTAGAAGCTTTTTCGCAGATGCTGGTTACTGAATATTCAGTTCAGTTTCTTTCTCTTTGTATGACTGAAGAACCAAAGCAATTAAGAATACATTTGAAGCAATGTCCCTGAAACGTTCAGAAGTGAGTAGCTGGTACCTGCAGAAGCTCAAGCCTTCAGTCTAGCATCGCAACCAATGGAATAATAGATTTGGTAGAAATTCTCTGTTAGCCCCAAGAGACAACATTGAAGAAAGGAAGTTTCAAAGGACTAAAATTTTTTAAACAATTAAATGGATACAACTGGAGTGTTTCATCCATAACATTTATTTGCACAAGATCTTGAAGTTTTTAGGTAGGCAATATTCCCACTGGTAGCAGCCTCAGGGAGGAAAGTGTGACTTTCATAATAAGAACAGTTTGCTTGATTCATCCTTGCCTTTTCTAAAACTGGCTTTAGCATGAGAAGAGGAAGGAGTCGGTCACTAACAGTGTGCTTTTAAAAATACTATAAAAGTTTTCAACTAGCAATAATTGCCTCGGTTGTACCTCATGGGCTGTGTATGATACTGCCACTGTTAATGTAATTCTGCTAAACAAAAAAATAATTAAAACTTTTTAGACAAAAGCCTCTGAGAAATTAAGAATGGTTTGTTATAGTCATAACTGGCAAACAGAAAGATAAGGGCTCCTATCTTTTGCTCTAGCTGTTTTGCATTGCTTCATTGGTGTAAAGGAGCCTGAAATCTGCGACAGCAAATACATCTCCCAAGTTGAAGAACCCTTCAGTAACTTAAAAGTACCATAGTGAGTGCATCTACACGAGATGTTTACTGTCCAGTTGACTATTTAACTGTGCTGTAAATTCCTCAGCATCTACATGTGTGCCCCTATTAGGGTGCAGGAAACTAATACATTCTGTGGTAGTATAAGTACTACCCTGCTGTAGAGTTTTTTTCATGCAAAGTAGCACAAGTGTTGATGCTGACTGACTGGCTATAGCACGAGGGTAATTCAGTGCGGGGTCTGCCTGCCAGCTAGCCCCACACTGAAGCACCCTCATGCCCAAGCCAGCCCCTCCGCTGCACATTGAGTGCAGTCAGAGCAGCCCTGGGCTGGTAGGCTGACCTCCCCGGGGCCCCCTGCCAGCCAGAGCTGTTCTGATTCATGTAAACGGCGTGCCTGGGAGCATCCCAGGAGCAATAAACTGTGGAGCAATAAGCTCTGGAGTTTATTGCTGCACATTAATGGCACATGTAGATGTGCCCAATGGGTATATTGCACTCTCTCTCCTTACTGCCCTTGTAGGAAACAGATTTGGGACAGCAGGTTTGTAAATCATTAGACATTACAACAACCATAGCTGCATGTATGAAAACAAAAATGAACAAAATTATGTTATAAAAAATGAAAGCTGAAATAAAACATACAACAAGATAAATCATTCCAGATTGTGGAGCCTGCTCACAAGTAGAACCATGCAGGTGCATAAGGGCCCACCTGTGATTGTTGTGTAGTTGCTACATAATTTAGAAAACTGATACACAATTATTTTAGCAATACTCTGCTCTGTGAGGGGAAGTTATTTTATATAGGATTATAAGACTTTCCTGTATGAATGCATTAATTTAGCTTAATAGGAGGAAGCTCTGGAAGAATAAATTAGAAGAATACATTGGCCCCATAAAAAGACAGCCCCAGGCATACTTAAAAATGTTGGACAAAGCTGTCAGCTTCAAGAGCCTTACATCCTTTGCCAATTTGCAAGCCTTGTCCTTGCGGGGCTGAATAAATAACAGATTACAGGGCTACAAAGAGTTACAAAGTGAGTTACTCTCTGGGAGGCTAAATGACCAGGAGGACTTTGCAGCTATGAAAGATGATTCTCCTTGAAGCAAAGAAGAAGAAATGGTTTGTGAGTGAAAGGAACAGACCAAGCCAGCCAGACCATAGAGCTCTTGGGGAGGAAGGTATAAAAGACATTTAGACCTATCAAGAAGCCATGTGGAAGACAAGTTAGATACCTGGTAAGTTGTACATGCATATACCAGTACTGTCTAGTTCAGTGCTTTTCAACCTTTTTAGACTCAAGGCATCCCTTGTCAGATTCAAGGCACCCTCCATAACTTTTGTGAATTGAGCAACCCCATCATTTTAAAAACTAATTTATTTATTACGGTGCTTACTTCCGTGCAGAGGGGGAAGGCAGACAGGATGGGGGAGCAGCTAGACAGGAAGTGCCTAAGTTTTCCTTTATTTGCTTGTCTCCTCACATCTTGCTTATCTCCTTACACTTCCTGCAGCACCCTCAGAGAATTTCATGGCACCCCAAGGTGCCCCAGCACTCTGGTTGAGAATCACTGGTTTAGTTTATTGCTTTAAAATTTGTTTTCTCTTTAAAGTTTTTGTTCTAAGTAACACAAAAGAAGCTTTTAAGTAAAACAAAAGAGGCTTCTCAGCCTCTTGTAGGCTAAGATCATGTGTATAATGATAATAATCATTTGCTTTAATGAAGCTATCTGGTCACTGCTTACCATTGTCATTGCTCTCAGAAATAATTAACTTACAGGTGCAGGACATAATGTGAGATCTGTTTGATCCTGCAAACAGATCTTTATCAAACAGATTTTTATCAAACAGATCTCATAATGTGAGATCTGTTTGAAGTAATCACAATTGATACTGCATAGGGCCCTGCAACCTTATGACTCCATCCTGGAGGTAGCAGCCTGGGACTCAAGACTAGCCATGTGTTACAGTTCAAGACAATGCTCATCTCTAATGTGCTAGAAGAGATTAAGAGAGGTCAGAGACCTCATAACTGCAACATGCACCATCTAATGGCTGCAAAATGAACCAAAGTGAAGAGAAATAGGATTTCCATATCTGACACACTCATATGTAGTTTCCTTGCTGAGATACATTTCTGTCCTTGGGATGAAGAGAAAGGGCCAACTAAATTGCATGTGTACTTAGCAGACCAAGTCAGATCAGATAACATAAATCCCATCACTTCCAAATGTGTCTTCTATTGAAAGAAAACTTAGTATTTTGCTTTGCTAATTAGCTTGAGCCCATTAACAATTTGTTCATCCATGCTCAGCTCCTATTGAGGTCAGAAAGAGTTGAGGGCACTCATCTCATACTAGATTGGCTACTGAAGGGGAAGCATTTCAGAATTAGAAAAATAGATTAATATCTAGGAAGAAATAAATGGGATTTGCAGGGAGAGAACTGGTTGTGCATTTAAAATTAAATAATTACATAAAGTTACAACTGGCTGATCAGTAATTATAAGCCGCAACATGTACATTGCTTCCTCATTACGAAGACTGGTGTTTGAACAGAAAAGGTGGGGAAAACAAACTAAAAATGGCTGTTCAAACTGATTTTAAAAAACATGAAAAATGTCTTTAAAAATTAGTCGGGAGCACATATACTAGAGTGGAGGAAAGTTTTACATTGTTTTAGTCTATCATTGCATGCAGAGTAATTTGGAAGAAAGGAGCAAAGATTTTGTTCACTGTACTTGAAATACTTTCACTCGTATGATGTTTTAAACATCTGAAAACAATTTATCTAGTCCTGCTTATGCCACATCTTTTGACCCATATTCAGAGGAGACCCCGTTTATGTAGTTGTCTCCTTGGCAGGGTCTTTCCTTATACTTGTCCCAAGTGTTATGAAGGCTTCTATGAAGAAACTGGATGAAAAAGGTCTAGAGAAGGCTGCTGTGATCTTTACTGAGGAATCTGTTGCCAAGTCTTTCTATATCAAAGTGCAAAGAAGATCCCAGCAGATTTGAACTACAGGGCATAAGATGGGATGCAAAACCGCTGTTTTAGGTCCCAAGATTCTTCCCTGAGCAATGACATTGAAAAAGACCTATACTAGGTATAGTCCTGAGGGCCAAATCCAGTTCATCTTATTTGTCAAAGAAAGACAGGATTTGGCACTCTACAAGTGAAGCTCTGTAGTGGAAGAGCTAAGTAAATCTAATGTACTAAGAAACACAAGAAACCATTTAAGTGTATGCTTAAATCAATCTCTCTTAGGAAGGGCACTTAAGGAAGCTGCTGAAATTTAGGCAGGTACCTCAGTTCCATAGAGTGAAATTAAACATAGGTTGGACTAGGTGCAGTTTTGAATAGAAATACTTTCCTGAATCAGGGCCTAGATCCACAGAGTCACTGGTCTGGAGTAATGCAACCCAGAAGACAAATCTGCTTTAATACCTTTCACATATCCCATGTATGACATACTTTATCTTTTACTCTTCGTGTTTTCTTAATCGTTAGAAAAGAGTTGATTGCCAGACTGGAACAAACGGAAAAGGAGAGCATGGATGCTGCTCAGCTGGCTGAGGAGTATGCAGCACTGACAGAAGAGAATCAGACATTGAAGCTGGCCCAGACACAGTGTGTAGAACAACTGGAAAAGCTTAGAATACAGTACCAAAAGAGACAGGGATCTTCATAACTCTCAGCTACCTATTACGGGGCAGTGAAATCCAGTGTTTGTTTTGTGCTGGCCAGGAGGTTTAAAAAAAGGTTCTCTTTAATATGCTGTAATACTTTACTACAAATACAGAATATGTAAAAGTCTATATTTAATTTAATGTTTGCCAGCCAGTAGCTTACTATAATGGATATTTTATTCATTATATAATGGCTATTTTATTTCAAGTAACATAACTGAAGTATATCTATCCCCATTATATGTTCTAGTAGATCAGATTTCTTTTCTAAAGATATTCTTTTAATTTAAGAAAATATAGACACACTAGAAACTGATATAAATAGTCTCTGTGTTAGGAGTTGGACCATACTATGTCATACACAAGGGGCAGTGTTAATCTATGGAACGCTGTGACATGTGTTTTAATTTTAGTTTTGGGGGGTTATTGTTATTTTTTCATGCCTGAAGGGTTTGGAAATTATCCTAAATGTAACCTCCTGGTTCTGGGTAAAAACTATGTCCTTATTAATTGGCACTGTGACAGCAGCTTTGGTTTTGGTAGTGAAGTCCAAGAGATTGCACATTAAAGAAAAAGTAGCTTAAAAAAATAATTTTGATCAAATAAGCACATTGCCAGTAATAATTTACAAGTTATGAAATGGAAAGGAAACAGATGAAATCAAGTTTTCCTTCCTCCACTGTATGGTTTGCTAGAGATTCTTTTCTATTTAAAAGTCACTTGTACTTTTTGGCATGCAAGAAATGTAAAAATAATGTATGGACACTACAGTGGTGAATAAATAAGACTTTATGGTTTTAACTGTGAATACTTCAGTAAAACTATATTTTGTAGGCTGTTTTGGAGCATAAATGACTGAGTAGGGACTGAGCAGTTAAATGGTATACAGATAACTGGGAGTGAAAATGACTGTTTTCCTTGCTCTATTTATCACTGTATTTTCCTAAATCAATTTAAGAGTCTTTGTTATACTTCCATTTCTATTCATATGGTATTTTTTTCATTAAAAGTGAATATACAAAACTTAATTAGCCCTTGCTGTGTTTCTGCTTTATCCAAAGGACAGTGTGTCACATTTTTGTGAGATTAGAATTAGACACAAACTTAATGCTAATGTGCCAGTAAGGTTATGTTCATAATTCTCAAAAGTCAAGAATAGCGGAAGTTAAGACTTGCACTGTCAGCATAAATTTGAATCTCCTTGCTCATCTAGGATCCAGGTTTTTAAAGAGAGTAATCTAGACAACTCCCATTTAAGTCCCATGGCACCAAATTACAACTTGGTTAGTTCACCAAACACAAGATGTTCCTTTACATCCCTTCATTGGCTAACCATTTCATAGGTAAGAGGGCAAACAGGGTGCACTTGGATGCTACTACCCCTGCCCTGAGAAGAGGAGCAGGATAAAGCAGGGAATGGGGGGAGTTTTACCCCTATCCTCCCCTCAGCACACTAGATCACACAATACATTGTACTTGGTCTGTACCTGGCACAGTTCAATCCCTTCCCAGAGCAGCAGGGAAACAGGAAAGGAAATTGTGACTCGCTGAATCATGGTTTTTCATCTGGACGTTCCTTTAAAACAAACCATTATCTCACAATTGTAACATGTACCAACCTTACAGCAGCAGGGGCTAACCTGTCTGGCCCCTACAAATTTGGCTTGCACCCTCCCCACATGCCACTTTGATTTCCTTTCCCTGCTGGGTCTGCTGCTCAGCTTTCTGCTTCTTGCTCTGTGCTCTTTGACTAAGCTGCTGCTCTGCTTTCTGCTTCCAGCACTGTGTTTTCTGCCTGATCTGATGCTGTGCTCTGATGCAGCCCAGAAACTATCGTGGCATATGTTTAGCAATGTAGATCTATCTTGCTCAAGTACCTGAAAAAAACAATGCTGAACCTACTTTTGTAACATGGTATCATCTTAGCCTGAAGACTAAACCACAGAAAGAAGAGAGCATTAGGGGGACCCACCCACCTTTTGCATTAACATTTTCAAGGACATGAGCACAGAAGACTAGGTCCTGGCTTAGGCACCTACTAGGTGGAATAGGATCTGGTTTATATGAATGACAAAAGATACTCCACACATGAAATATGCCTAATTTAAAAATCTAGTGCCAAATTCTAGGCTGGCATTCATTTATCTTTTACAGTCTTGTCTGCACTGAGGTTACACTCAAAAATGAACAATTCAGTTATTCTTTAATGATTTAATTTACTTGTTTCAGAAAACAAGGGGAAAAACATTTCAAACTTAATAATTAAGGCTTATAAAACAAACAAGAGGGTTTACATGTTTCCCTGCTGACTTTGAAAGTAACTAGTGTCTTTATTAAATACAGTTGTATATTTCCACATTAGTTCCGTCAAGAATTTAAACTACTCCGTAACTCCACAAAAATTTAGCAGCACAAAACCACAAATAGAAATCCATTATCCAACTTCAAATTCTTTTATACAGTAATCTTAAACTCAGTGGAAATTGTCCAAATATACAAAAACTGACTTCTGTTTCTTAACTCAGTTGGTTATGCTTATGTGTAAACTGGCCTTCCAGCAAATCCTTATCCACCTAAAAAGTTTCACTTCTAAAATGCAGCCATACATATTAGGCATACGACATGCAAAATAGCCTCATGTCAGACTCTCATAAAAAAGACCTGGGGGAGAGCCAAAGTCAGGCAGAAAAGTCTTGAGGCCTTCGGACCTCAGTTTCTGACATTTGGGTTTGGTGTGGTTAGGAAATATGGCTCCCTAAGTCAGTGGGAACCAAACTTTTTGGCAGGCATGACACAAATTAGCCCCGTAGCCCCACCTAGTGCCACTCTGACCCACTTCCTCTGCCCAATCTTCTGCTCTGCTTTCTGCTGCCTGCCTAGTATTCCCTACCTGATCTGATGGTCTGCTTTCTGCTCAGTTTGCCATTGTACTGCCTGTTCCTTCCCTGGTCTGCCATATGCCATACACGGCACATCTACACAACGTGCTTTACTGTGCAGTAGATTAGTCCACTGTGCAGTAAAGCATCACTATCTATGTGTGTGCGGCATTTAGTATGCGATAAATTAGTTTACTACAGAGTTGCACTTGTGTAGATGCTGAGCAGGAGCAAATTTGCTGCCAGTCAGCCACATCAGCAAGGGGCCACCCAAGACGGGAGGACGGGGAGTGGAGAGTTTTCTATCCCTGGTCCTGGTGTTGCCCAGCTCCTGGCTCCCCCTGATCAGCACTAGGACAAGGTCACTCTCTGTCCCCCCCATCCCAGCATTGTGCGGTTCCTAACTCCCCATAGGAGACAGGAGCTAAACAGCACTGGGACTGGAGAGCTCTCTGCTTCCCCATTCAGCTGGGGGCTGACCAGCAACTGTCCTGCATGTGGAACAGCTGCTGGCAAGCCCCCTGGCAGGCAGAGATACCCCATCCAGCAGGGCACTCGCTGGCAGTTGCCCCAGTAGTATAGCTCCCGATGAGCCCCTTGTTGGGGGAGGATGCCCTGCTGGGCACAGTTCTGGCTGGCAGCTCTGTGTCCCAACATGCATGGGGCTGGGAGAGCTCTGCTTGATGTGCATGGGGCCAGGAGACAGCTGCCACTGCATCTGGCAGAGCTCTCCTGGCCCCATGTGCATGGGGACTAGGCCCCATTCCCCCTGCCCAACCCCAGAATAGGACCCTAGGGGAACCTGGATCTCCCCCTGGCTGCTGCATAGGGGCAGAGCAGGGCAGAAGTAGCCCTGTACCAGGCTGCTCCTGTTGGGAGTAGATTTATTCCCAAGGTGCACATGTAGACATGCTCCCAGGGAAGGCTTACTGCACAATATTTTACTGCACAATAAGCAATTCTGCACAAGTACTGCACAATAAGCAATATCACATTAATAGTATGTGTAGACATGCCCACATACACTGTCCAAACCTCTTGTGGTATGCATGCCACAGGTGGGTCTCCCCTAAGCTATGAATGTTCTGATGTCAGGTTGCTCCTGAGCAAATGCCCAGGTGTAAATTTCTTGTTTCTCCTTGCCCTTGGTACAGTACAAACATGAGGTCCTCTTCAAGGATAAACCTGGACCTCTTGAAATCAGGACCCTTGATATCAATAATTTTATATCATTACTGGTACATTTCATCACATGTAAACTGAGTAAAATCAAACAGAGGGCGTTAGAAAAGAAAAACAAAATGTTCTATAAAAAATTAAGAGAATTAGAGAAAAATGAATTCTTCTCATGAGAGAGGCAGAACAAAATTAGATGCAACTGATCTTTGAAAATGCATTTGTAAGGAAACTAAATTGAAATGTGAAAAATTGAGGATACCCCAAGAGGACCATTCATATTGTGGAAAGTATGATGTAATTGGGGTAGCTTTAAAAGGAAATGGCTATGTTCATTTTTTCTACCAACTGGTTTAAAACAAAATTAAATCATGATCCTAATTGCTGTTTCATAGTCCTAACTCTAATCTTGACATGCTGGTTTTTTCATTGGATATCATCCAAGCCTACATGAAATTGCTGATTGATGTATTCTGGATTAATCATTTATGTAAAAATTCTATCCTAGTTTTATATATGTGTTTGTTCTTAAAAAGGCAAATTGACATGGCTTGTGTTCTTTCATTCTATTATTTAAGTATTTAAGACTTAAACTATTCTACTAAAAGTTTCCATTTTAAGTATAATTCTGTACGTACCGGATTTTAGGCAATTATTTCAAATATAATTTAATGTGGTATTTCACTTCCAAAAATGTTAAAATCTAATTTCTGCCTCTGACCATACATATGCCCACTGCCCCATGAGGCTTTACATTTTATGACTTTTGACTTCAAACATCTAACAAATGCAATTTTCATAATGGTAAAAGAGTAGATTAAAGCAAAGATTTTGGTCCCAATACATTGGGCATCTGCTTTAGTGGATCCCCATGCATGATTAAGGTCTAAGGGAGATCACAGGCTAAAAGACTTACCTGACAGAAAAGGTATCTAAATTTACAAAGCTGTATGTGTGCAAGTATATGTGTATGTATGTACACAGACATGTACAATGATCTGTAAGGTCCCTTCCGGCCCCTAACAACTATGAAACTATATACATACACAGACACATGTGGGGCATGGCGGGGGGGGGGCGGAGATCAACACTCCCGTGGTGAGGGAGGGAGTGGGGCTGGGGTAGGTGCTGCTCAGCTGGGGCGAGTGGGCATGGGATGGAACCATGGGTCGTCCGGGGGGGCGCAAGGGGGTGGCTCCCACTGCTGTATGCCACTTGGCCAGCGGCCATTCTGCCGCTGCTCCTGCTGCTTGTCTGGGAGGGCATGGGGGGGAGGGGTGTATCCCCCAGATCTGCACAGGGTGGGGCAGGGTGGGCTGCAGCTGTAGGCTGGGCCTGAGTGGCAGCAGTGGTGGGATGAGCCACCAGACAAGCAGCATGTAGCTGACCCTCCCACACCCCTTGGATGAGCCATGGCTCCATCCTGCACCTGCCCTGCCCCACCCTGGCTGGGCAGTACCTACCCTAGCCCCAGCCCCATTCCCTCCCTCACCACAGGGGGCTTTGATCTGCCCCCCATGGCCCTTCCCTCCCCCGTCCCCTTTCATCACACCAGACGTACCAGCTGGACACAGCTCTCTAAGCTGCCAGGCTTGTGCTCTTTGTTGCCTGCATGTTGTGCTATGGCTGCACACATGCATGAGCATTTATTGGCCAAATTATTGGCCACTTCAGGCCAATTTCCAATATAGTCAATTTTCTTTATGGAGTCAATCCAATATTGGACTGATGTATAGGTGCACCTCTAATATATTTGTTTGTTTGTTTGTTTATTTTACACATACACACACACACGCACACAGAAAATATATATTCTATTAGAATTCAGATAGATAGATATTTTCTGTGTGTGTGTGTGTGTGTGTGTGTGTGTGTATCAGCAGAAGAACCCTATAGATGTCAGGGAGCTCCTGAGCATATGCCCAGGTGTAAATTCCTTGTTTCTCCTTGTGCTTGGTACAGTACAAATATGGGGTCCCTTTCCAGGATAAACCTGGAGCTCTTCAAATCAGGATCTTTGATATCAATTATTTTAGGGGGTTTTTTTCAATCTGGTAACATTTTTTTTTCTTTTTATCAGTCCAAATGGCTTTCTTTTTTATCTGCTTACTTGTCTATTGGCAAGAATGGTTATGCTTCTGCAAATTGTGACTCTAGGACATTCATCATAGGTAAACTGAGTAAAATCAAACAGAGGTAGTTGAAAAAGAAAATGCTCTTTAAAACAAATTAAGAGACTTAGAGAAAAATGAAATTTGACCTTAATGACCTTGATTATTTAGATCTATATACACACAGAATATATTCTATTAGAATTCTACATTATATATATACATATAGATATAAATATAGCTATATCTATAGATTTATCCATCTAGCTATGTATTCTGTCTCTGCAGGTTATTCAGCCTATAGAGATCAAACTATATAGTGACATAAATACCATTACTTTAGGCTAGGTTATTAAAAAAATTGTTGGGAAAAGAAAATGGACATTAAAAATAACTCCTAGGTTTTCCATTTCCCAGTTACCACTTACTCATTGCTTTGCAAACATAACAAATGCTGAGTACACTTATTTTGATTATTCCAGTTACCAAGGATATGACTCATTCAATCTTGAAACTCCCAATTCTCAATGATTTTATATTGTAAAACGTCAGGAAAAAGTTGCAATTTTTTTACAATTGTTTCTCTTTCCAGAAATATCTTGCTGTTCCAGCTTTGCTGTGAGTTTATAATCTTTGGAAACTTCTTAGAATGGTATTTTTTAATTGTTGGCTATTACAGTCTAGTTCAAGGGTGGGCAATTATTTCAAGCAGAGGGCCGCTTACCGAGTTTTGGCAAGCTGTTAGGGCTGCATGGGTAGCCCTGCCTCTTGACAGGTACCCTGTCTCCTGGTCACCATCTTGGGACTGGAAGTCCTGCCCCTAACCTCTGACATTTGCCACCGGAAGTCCCTCCCCTTGCCCCTGGAAGTACTTCTTTGGGGAAGAGGGTTTGCAATCATAGAGGGGAAAAAAACAAATTATATACTAAAAATCAAACACCCAAAATAATATATTTTAATTTAATTAAAAATATATTTTTGTCCTGATTTGTGTATGTTTGTACTGTATATGTAGAACTGATTGCATAATAGCTCAAAATACAGTCTTACTCTTGTATATTGTGTGGGGTGTGCTAGGGTGTCAGGCGGTATGGCTGGGTGAGTGTGGGGTTTGTGGGGATCTGTGGGTGGGTGGGTATGCGGGTTTGTGTGGATGTGTGTGTGGGTATGGTACTGTACAGGGCAGCTGGCATGTGGGCAGCAAAGTGGGGAAAGTGGCAGTGGGGGCGGGGAGAAGTAGAAGTAAGCGGTGTGCAGGAGCACAGGGCCTATGTCGGTGTCCTGGGGCCCAGAGCTGGGCAGGGGCTGGCAGGGGTCTATAGAGCCGGGCTGGGATGCCAGCAGGGAGAGAGGGGAGCTGGCCAATGGCTTGGTGGCTTTGGGCCGGCTGTGATACACCTTGGCCTCCCGCTTCTTCCTGCCATGTGCAGCAGAGTGGCCCTTGTGGTACTCCTTGGAGCTGCCAG